TTAAGTAAATAAATTAGCTTTGAGTTCTGTTTTTCTAGCATAGAATATTCATTATCTCCATAGGTAACAGCAAGTGCAACCAAATTTGAAATCAGCATATCATAGTGAGCTATAAGCAACACTTCTTCTAAAGCAGATATCAGAAAATACCTCAGACCTCAAAGATTGTCTTATGCATGATAGAACTTAGCAAGTGGTAGAGATTGAGGTTTAGATTTAAATAGGAACTCTTGCATAAATATAAAGGTAATATTTTGAACTCTAAATATTTTAAGGCAAAATCAGTAGGCAAATACAAAAAAATAAGAAAATATAAGCTGTGAAGATATTTTTAATGCTTGGGAATTATTGTTATTGTCATTAAAAGAATAAGAAATAATGCCAAGACACATAAGCTCAATTTCTGATTCTGCCATTGATGTGTTCCATGTTTTAGAATGCATTTCTTAATCTTTAATATGCAGAGTCTAAAATGAATGTAAACAAAGTTATCTTTATGTCTTTTCCAAGTATCAAATATATAGATATAGATAGATATATAATAGATATATAATTGAATATTTTCTTTTTTATTGAAGAGATCATGAACTTTGAAAAGGCAGTTCAAGTCTCAGATCTTGACCACCAATTTCTCATTTGTAAAATGAGGATAATAACAACAAATAGGAATTTTGTGAGGAATAAATGAATGTTAATTCATCTTTAAAAAACTTGCATAGTAGAATTCCTTTGATTTTATATCAAAAGAGATATTGCTTAAAAAACTTTGTGGTCACAAAACTAGTCTTATTCAGTTTCATAGGACTGTATAAAATAAAAAGTAAAAGTTTCAATGTTTATCACTTTGGTGAAGAAAATAAGTAGAAAACAAAACTAAGACTCCCCTCACCCAAGCCTTATAAATTTTCAGTAATTCAACTAATATTTTCTATGCATACAAGCATAGATATGCAGTTAATAATGTTTATTTTATATTGTTCTTTTTGCAAAATATTGGAACACATTATGCACATTATTAATCTGTAATTTGCTTTGTTGACTTAACACTGCCTAATAGATATCATTTCATGTCAATACAAGCATATCTACCTAGCTCTTTTTAATAGTTGTATATTATTCTGTGTATTCATATAGCCCATAGAGGGGACCTCTAGGGTGCATGAGAGAAGGGTGTGGGGATATCACCGGTATTTGAATAGCATAAAAACTGGAAGACTATAGTCATTAGATAACTTTTGGAAATCAGATTCAACCAAGCTCTAATTTTTTCTTTATGTTTTCTAGTTTGAAATTTTTTTCAGTAAAAAAAATAAAAAAGGTCACTATTATTGCAATCAAAATTTCTTTGAATATTAGAGAGATTGAAATCTCTTTCCCATTGCTTTTGTGTGTTTTTTCTTTTTAACTTTCCCATTGATCTCATTAGCCATTTTTTCTAAGTTCATCTTTTTCCTATAGGTTTGTGACAGTTCTTTTCCTATGAATATTATTATCTCATTGCCTCTTCTCTATTGAATGTTTTTTTTCTAGTGTGTCATTATTATTTTAAATGATAGTTTGGTTTTGGTTACGGTTTTGCCATGCTGAGGGTTTAATAGCACTGATGAGAGCCCTTAAACCACAGTTCTCCAGGAATGAAAATCAAACTGGACATTGCTTATGCAACTGAGAAAATCTTGAGACTAACAGCTTATTTTTAGATCCCTTGTTTTGAAGTTATCTCATTGAAGCTTCTAGATTAAATAAGAATATTTTATAAGTCACTTTCAGATAACTGAGATGCACAGCTTATCTCTTCCACCAATTAATATTTATCCTCCTTCAAAAGTACACACAACTCTTACTTTTTTCAAGCAATTTCTGGGAATGCCAGCCCCCGTATATTCTTCTGCGCCTTATACTCTTAGCCTCATTTTGTTCAGTAATTTGCACTTATTGCTGTAATATTTTTCTTTTAATTATAACCCATGTTTCTTGAAGTAACATCAACCTTAGGGTAGAAAATCAAATAGAAAAACAGCATCCACTTAGTATATTTTTGGCTCTTTGCACCCCTGCTTTGATCTAGCTCCTCATTATCCTCTCAGCTACAGTTTAATGTTCTTCATTCTCCGTTCCTATGTGTTCTCCATGGAGCTGTTCCCCATGTTGCTCTTTTTCTGTTCCCCTGTGTATCACTGCCTCCGACAGCATACACCCAGTTTCCTATCACTGCTGGTGCATGATAGCAAAGTTCTGAGTCCCCAAACTTGTTCTTGCAGCTTCTTCCCATTTCCACAGAGATCACAGGAGTTATCTCCAATTGTAAATAAGCAGCTGCCACAGCTCCTGGGAACCAAGGATGAGCAGTTGTTGTTTTCCAAACACTTGATATAGCAAAACCACTGTTTCCCACAACCATCTTTACCTTTTCACCTTGTAGTTTTCTTCATGCGACTTACCACAACATTTACATCTATATCTATTATTTATATTTAATTTATATATGTATATTTATATTTGTGAGATACCAGATTGTAAAGTTCAGAAAGGCAAGGACCATGCCTGTTTTGTTTATTAGTATGAAATCTGCCCTTAGCACAGTGCATAACACATCTTAGGCCTTCAATTAATTGCTACTTATTAGAGAACTAGAGGCCCGATGCATGAAATTCATGCAAAAGTAGGCCTTCCTTCCCCCGGCTACTGGCACTGGCTTCCCTCTGGCACCTGGGACCCAGGCTTCCCTTGCAGCCCAGGCTTCCTCCGGAAGGTCATCCAGAAGGACATCCGGTCTAATTAGAATATTATGCTTTTATTATTATAGATGCTACTTATTAAATGCTAAATGCATTACAGCCATTGGTATTATACTACCTCTTATTTTACTTCTCACAAATTTATAGTTTTTTAAGACTTTTTTCTAAAATAAATAAAGCATTATAAATTTGATTGAAGCCTTATGAGTCCAATTCCCGTTACTTCTTGCCCAAACATTATTATGAGAATAAATTTGATATTTGATATTTTTATTCCCCTAAATTTATTTATATCTTTATTATATGTGCATGTATTTATTAGAAAAACATGTCAGATATGTGCCGACCTATCCCCTGGAGGCACTGACTGATTTACCTAGAGGCAAAGTCTGAGAGTGTGAGAAGCTAGACAGAAAGCAGCTGAAAAATGGAGAGAGCTGAATACAAGACAGGAGAATAATTAAAATTAAGGCTCTACAAAGTAGTGAATCTAGGTGAACACCCCAAGCATAAGCTGGGGTTGTGAAGGGTACATCCTAGGAGAAGGAATAAATATTGGCCTGTGTTGAATGAACCTAGACCCTAGTTGGATGAAGGTCATCTCTCGCAACCTTAAAACACTACTACCAGAAGAAAACAAATCTTTTTTGAAAGAATAATAACATAATCCAAACACTCAAATTATATGTGCATTTTTTACACCCAAAAAGTCCTTTATTCAATCAAAATGAAGCAGGCATTATAAAAGAACTAGAAGCCCGTTGCACGAAGATTCGCGCAATAGGCCTTCCTTCCCTTGGCTGCTGGCACCGGTTTTCCTCCGGCACCTGGGACCCAGGCCTTTGAGACAGATGTTACAATAACTGTGATTATGGTTTTTAAGAAATCCTGAGTGTATATAATTGATGAATGTACATTTGTGTTTACATTTTAAAATATCAATCAACATCATTAGATAAATTGAGAGACGGTGGTTGGTAAGGAATATTTGATGACATATTCATTGCTTTTGGTGGAAATTTGGGCTAAAATATTTCATATCATATCAATGTTTTTTTTCTTATTTGAGGTTATATTGAGGTCATATTTACTTAGGTAATACTTTCTATCTCATTCAGAATTGTATTATTCTTTTTAATTTAGACCCCAAAATATAAATGAATATGAGAGCTATTTTTTCTTTTTTTTAATAAAAATATTTTTTTATTGATTTCAGAGAGGAAGGGAGAGGGAGAGATAAACATTAATGATAAGAGAATCATTGATTGGCTGTCTCCGGCATTCCCCCTACTGGAGATTGAACCTGCACCCTGGGCATATACCCTGATTGGAATTGAACCTCGACCTCCTAGATTCATAGGTCAACATTCAACCACTGAGCCACACCAGCCAGGCTATTTTTGTTTTTTAATATTTGTCATTTGTATATATGTGTATGTGTACACATATATATATGCATGATATATTTACATATAGTATATTGATATATGCATGCATTATATATTTATATAGTATATATATGTTAGAAAGAAAATGCTATCAGTCTTACATATTTGCATGGGGTGAGTGTTTACAAGGTAATAAATGGCTTGGTATATTCACTGGGCTTGTATAACCAGGAGCCTTATTGCAAGATTGAAAACACATACAGAGTACATGTACAGCAGCAGTAGGAATCTCGTCTTTAGCCTAAGCTTGTTTAATCTAAAACACAGACCTGCCAAGGAGCTCTGGAGTCCTGACTAATGGTCTAACATGGGCCATTTACCAGAGGAGTGAAGAATCTTCCTTGAAATAATTCACTGTAAGCAAATAGGAAATGAAAATATTTAAGCTTGTTTCAAGAAAATTGCTAACAGGTGAATGTGAGGTGTGGTTTTGGTATTACATGGTATCTGCTACTCAGATTCATCTGATGTATCTTCAAAATTGAGACATATGAAGATGGAGTGTATGAAACAACTGAAGAGTCTCTTTAGACACAAACAAACATTCTAGGACATCCGTCAGGAGCTACAGGCACCATCACATTGTCACTGATCTAATGGAGTCTATTTTCCTGACACCCAATATTGTTTTATCACAACATTCCACTGTGTAGTTTTTTTCCTACCTAGGAAAGTTCATAAAGAGAAATCACACAAATAAAAGTATTTATGATCTATATAATAATTAATGTGGTATATAGGTAACATAAGGCATTTTTGTGGTTTTTTTAGGCACTTTCTTCTTTTTGATACACTAATATGTGTTTGATTTTAGGTTTCCTCAAGAACTGAACATGGGAAAAATAAGTGCTGAGATTATGTGGACCCTTTTTGCTCTGGATATGAAATATGCACTAGAAGGTAATTCCAAATATCTATTCACATTAGAACACACATTTTAGTGAAATCGTTATTTCTTGTTTTTGTTTTTAAATGCAATAATTTATTAATTAAAACATTGATTGTTTCATATGACAGTTCTTTTTTTTAATTCTTTATTGTTTAAAAAATTATATGTCTCCATTTTCCCCCCATTGACCTCTCCCCAGACACTCTCACCCCCCAGCACATGCCCTCACCCCCCGCCCCCACTCCCGGTATCTGTGTCCATTAGTTATGCTTATATGCATACATACAAGTCCTTTGGTTGATCTCTTACTCCTCCCCTGCCTTTCCTCTAAATTTTAATGGTCTGTTTGATGCTTCTCTGTCTCTGTGTCTATTTTTGTTCATCAGTTTATGTTGTCTATTATATTCCATATATGAGTGAGATCATGTGATATTTATCTTTCTCTGACTGGCTTATTAAGCTTAGCATAATGCTTTCCAGGTCCATCCATATTGTTGTGAATGGTAAGAGTTCTTTATTTTTTCAGCAACATAGTATTCCATTGTGTAGATGTACCACATTTTTAAAATTCATTCGTCTACTAATGGGCACTTAGGCTGTTTCCAAATCTTAGCTATGGTGAATTGTGCTGCTATGAACATAGGGCTACATATGTCCTTTTTGATTGGTGTTTTTAGTTTCTTGAGATATATTCCTAGAAGTGGAATCACTGGGTCGAATGGGAGTTCCATTTTTAATTGTTTGAGGAAACTCCATACTGTTCTCCACAGTGGCTGCACCAGTCTGCATTCCCACCAGCAGTGCACAAGGGTTTCTTTTTCTCCACATCCTTGCCAGCACTTGTTGTTTGTTGATTTGTTGATGATAGCCATTCTGACAGGTGTGAGATGGTACCACATTGTTGTTTTGATTTGCATCTCTCGGATGATTAGTGAATTTGAGCATGTTATCCTATTTTTTATTTTATGAAAAACCTCCACACTGTTTTTAATAGTTGATACACCTTTTACAATCCCAGCAATAGTGCACGAGGGTTCCCTTTTCTCCACATCTTCTCCAACACTTGTTGTTTGTTGTTTTACCGATGATAGCCATTCTGACAGGTGTGAGGTAATATCTCATTGTGGTTTTAACTTGTGTTTTCCTAATGATTAGTGATGTTGAGCATCTTTTCATGTCTATTGGCCATTTGAATGTCCTCTTTGAAGAAATGTCAGTTCAGGTCCTCTGGCCTTTTTATTTAATCAGAATTGTTTGGTTTTCTTGGTGATAGAGTATGTAAGTTCCTTAGATATTTTGAGTGTTAACCACTTATTGAATATATCATCACCAAAAAAGAAACAAAACCCAAAGCCTTGTGAACAGTTTAGTTCTAAAAAGTATTCCCACAATATAGTAAGATAATTTTCTCAAAGTATTTAAAAGCAATAAGAAGTGCATACATTTTCATCAAATGGTCTAAGGTGCAGGATCCTAGTGATATCTCACTTGTAAGATAATGCTCAGATGCAGGGCTACTTGATGGTAGTTTACTGACGGAAGCAGGCCATGTTGAGAGTGTGGATATTCATCTGCATGGGCGTGGAAATGGTAGCCAAGGCGAGGCAGGTTAAAATCCAGTCGAAGCTTACACAGGGCAATAGCAAGGCTCTTCACCAGAAACTTCACTTTTTTTTCTTTTTTTTTTTTTTGCTAAAAGTATTACAAAGGGTATTACATAAGTGTCCTTTCCCCCCCCCCCGCCCTTGACAATCCCCTGCCCTCCCTTACCCCCCAGTGTCTTATGTCCATTAGTTATGCTTATATGCATGCATACAAGTCCTTCGGTTGATCTCTTACTCCCCTCCCTCCTGTCCCCCAACCCTCCCTGGCCTTCCCACTACAGTTTGACAATCAGTTTGAGGCAGCTCTGCCACTGTATCTATTATTGTTCAAAAGTTTGTAATGGTCTTTATTATCCATGAATGAGTGAGATCATGTGGTATTTTTCTTTCATTGACTGGCTTGCAGAAACTTCACTTTTAATAAATCTAAGTCATACAATGTAAAGCAAGGGAAGGCAGCTCTGAGTTTAAAAATCCTCTAAATATTATTTGAGCACTTCCATGTTTAAAGTGAGAGAACCACAAACCAGTCTATGGTTTCTGTCCTCTAGGAACTTACTAGTCTAGTAGGTAATTATCTTTGCACTTTTTCAACAAATATATATTGAGCCCCTAGAAGCTAAGTTCACATAACTGCACTCAGTGTGGAGGATACAACAATGAACAAGATAGCGATGGTCCCTGGCCACGAGAACTCAGCAGGCCCATGAGCCAGAAAGAGCAAGGAGTGAGGTTGGGGAAAATGATAGGGACCCGCATGCAGGGCCTGTACCCCATGGTGAGGTGTGTGACTCTCTGCCTAGAGAATCAGGGGACCATAAAGGGACTTCATCAGGGTCAGGTCTTTCCAGATAAAGCATTTTGACTGCAGGGTGGAAAATAGATTAATACTGTAAATAGGGTAAGACTGGTTTAGAGTTCGTGCCACCGTTTCCTAGCATTGCTAAAATGTAAGGTTGCTACTAGGGGACACAGAAGGAACATAAAGACGTTTTTCTTGTTTGGTACTTTTTTTAAAAAAAAAAGTACACAGTAAATTATTTTATTGACTTTTCTGGTAAAGTCTGGGTCTACCATCCCACAAATATAGAGATTTATCTAATTCTTAAGATTACAGCAGAACTGCTCAGAGGGACAAAGTTTATGTTCTGCAATGCAGTGTTCCTTTCTGTTGTTTTTATCAGTCCTGCTTTTTCTCTGCCTCCAACCAACCACATCCTTTTATACCACTCTGCTCTGATTGTCTCTTTGGAATCCAACAAGTCTCTTAAGTCAAATGGGAACCACCAGTCCACTAGCCCACAATATAGTAAGATAATTTTCTTAGTAAGGTGAATTTCTTCAGAGAGAAATTTTGTTCCTATAGTCCTATCTGCTAATCTCCTCTGCCCTCCTTGAATGTCTATCAGGCATCTTATACTTTACATGATCAATATAGAAGTCTGAATCTCCATGTCAGAACCTGCTTCTTCCCTCTGGCTGGCCCCCTTCCCTATTGCAATTATTGGCACCACCATTCATGCAGTTACTTAAGTCAAACATGTAGGGTTACCATGGATTCCTTTCTTTTCCCCAGCACACTCAGTTTATTCCAGTTTTGGGCTTTATGCCAGGTCATCTACTGCCTGGACTTCTCTTTCCACCAATCTTCACAGCAGCTGTGCAGGGCTCAGCTTCATGCCACCTCCTAAGGATCGAACATCATTCCCAGGAGTAACCTTAGTTGAATCCTTAGCATAGTAACGAATTACTATCTTTTATTTGTTTGTTTGTGTGTTTATGCTTGTTCAATTGAATATTTCTTCAATTGCAGTATTCTTCACTGCAATGTATAATTTTATCTATGATTTTTACCAACATAGCTATATTGCCCAGAACAATGCCTAGAAAATAGAAGCTACTCAGTAACTATTTGTTGCATAAAAAGTTTATCAGGTAATTCCAACTCAACGGAGTAGTGAAAAGGGCAGTGGTGGAGACTTCCGCTTTTATCTTCTTTTGTTATGTGATTTTGGGAATCTCCTGAGAAATCAACAGCTTTGTGTTTCATCGTCCTCAACTGTACAATGAAAGGTACACATTGGATCAATGGGCTGGGCAATGGGCAGGGAGGCCACTGCCCACACTTATGAGAAAATTGATTGCTTGGAACTATTCCAAGGTGGAACTGCTTGCCAGGGCACATTGTATTTGAGCAGGCTTATATCTTTGCTTATGTGGTAGCATGTGTGCAAATATTGGGTATTTTATGTTCCCTTCACTTATAAAACTGTGTGTTAATTTGAGAAATGTTAAGTGTAATGTTTGTGTTAAGAAATTTAAAACTCAAAAGTTTATTATTTGTTTGAGACAACAATGAAATTAGAAATGTTATAAGTAAAGCATCTGTAACTTTGAACAGATGCTTATGGGTTATAGGTTAATAATTTTGTGCAATAACAGTATCCCAAAATGCAGAGATTGTATCTTTAAGAATCAGGTCCAAGATCAATGGTAATTAATCATTTTGTGATTATCTTAGCTCTTTTGGAGACAGTTTTATTATTAGTTTGACTTTTCAAATAGCAGATTTGATACTTAAATAATATACCATATAACTTACCTACTTAAAGTATACAGTCAATAGTTGTTACATTTGCTTATTTATGCACATTGTCAAGAAGGCATATAAGGGAGTACTTGGATTGCAGTTCATGGTTTATGCATCTTCTTACACAGATGAGAGGGCTTTTGAGTGCAAAGATTATATATGTCATCTTTGTGTTCATTGAATCTTAATAGAAATTCAATAGGCGCTTGTTTATTTGACTCAAATTGCAAATATGACAGCCCTATACAAAGCGCCTTGGAAACAAGGCCAGAACACTTGCCATGTTCAGACTTACAATTTGTAGTATTGCAAGTTGGAAGGCAGCCAGAGATCTGAGTCTGGAAAAACCAGTTTCAGAAATCTCTGTCATGTATGAGCTGCACAACCTTGGACAGTTAATGCATAATCTCTCCAAACTTTAGTTTTCTTTTCTATAAAAAGGTGATAAGAGTTTTCAGGTTGATGTGAGGATCATCTGACACAGTAAATGTACTTTGCAGACTCTAAAGCACTGTGCTGGTGGGAGGAGACCATTCTGTTATTATTAAGTAAGGCAAGGATGTCCTGACCGAGTTCCGAAGTAGTCTCCTTTAGGGGTCATTTAAGGTTTAAACTCCTAGGAGAATGTTTAAATATACTTGTGAATCTGTTCACTACCTCTCTCTCCTTCCCTTTCACATAAAGGCTAGTATTTATTGAGTATTTATTATGACAAATTTGAGGATTATAATTTAGTAAACAAGAACTTGGAGGCAATTTATAATACCATCAAAATGTCTAGATGCCTCTATGTGACTGAAATGTTGACTTGCCAATT